AATGAACAAGTGTTCTAACTTTATTTCAGTTTATTAATTATATGCCTTAATCTTCTTCTGCTTTCTCCCATATTTGTTTTTTATATTTCCATTTTTGTCTGCCTTTTGATACTACACATTGAATTATGTATAATATACGTACAGCATAACCTCCAATAGTGACCATCCCCAATTATGAACTTTTTCATGTCCAATGAAACGATATTTTGCTGGAAATGCTTTTCTTTATGTGAACACTTCTCTATTCTGGATAGTGAACAGTTGTTTTGCAGTCCCTCTTGCTATATAACTAATCACGAGTTTAAAATAAATATGCGATTTTTTATTATGACAAATATCAAGCTCCTACTAATCTTTAATTGCTATAATATCAAAGCTTTATAATATCAGTGCGACTTCAATATGCAAAATTAAGTGAATCATTTGAAATCTGTAGATAGTAGATGAGCAGACGACAGCATCACTTTATTCCGAGGGTGTGGGTGTGTTTTCTTGTATATGGTGTTAGGGAAGGGGGAGGGGGCGGTGTGGCTGTTGCTGTCGGTTTGGTGTGGGTGTCGGTATGGGTTTGGATCCGTGGGTGTGAGTTACAATAATATGAACCAACAGCCACAGACACACCGCCCCACCAACACTACATACAAGCAAACATACTCACACCCATCCCCTTAATGGATATGGTACAACAAAAAATAGACATATTCATATGTTCACAAAAAAGTTATGAATGAAATGTGTTTGGATAACTTAATGAGTCGTTTTTTGGGGGCCAATGAAATTTTGCAAATTTAAAAAACAAAATAAAATGTTTCATTTTGTTATTCACTAAGAAAATGTACTTAAAATGTTCTAGTTTTTACATGTATATAATTTCATTTTCATTTTTGACTGATGATGTTAACAGTAGTTGACGAAACGTTTCAAAAATAAAAATAAAATGTTTTATTCGGCTGCAATTTCTTTATTATCCATTATTAAATGCATTTACCGAAAAATAAATAATAATGATTCATTAAAATATTTCGAATAGAATGAATTGGTTGATAAATGAAAGTCATAGACTATAGAAAAAAAAAAGAAATGAATTCTAAAAAATTTTTTGTTCGAGTTCTACAAACTTGATCATTTTGATAACGTTGAAAATCAACTTATGAATAGTTAGCATCAAGTTTTAATTATTGTTGTTCAAAAGTATCAACATCCTTCAAATAAGACTTAAAACGTTTTTCTAAATTCCATTGAAACTAACTTACTAGATGACTAGCTTGCTGAAATAGAAAATAATATCGAATTTTATATGCTGATATTACTTTTAATATACTATTACACTTACGACCAATAGTTAAAAATAAACAACATTGTGATCATTAAAAATTGGTTGATAGGGATTTTCTGTATCTAAATTAGTCTTATATGAATATCTTTTTTTTTCAAGAGCTAAATATTTTTACGTGTTCAATGGAAGAATAGCACTCAATACTGTCAAACTGTTATTTATGAAATTTATATGAATAGAAGAAAATCCATTCTGATGCAATAAAATGAGTTAGAGTAAAAATGTGAAATTATAAACTCTTCCTTTCATCTGATTGAACTATTTTGAGATTTGTCTTATAAGAGTTGGTTTTGATAAAACGGAGAACAACTCATATATTAGATGTCACGTCGACTAGCATGTTATGAGAGAAATAGTCAATGACAATCTTTGATAAGTTATAGATGTACGAAATTTAAAGTTCAGACAAAACTTACATCAAACAAATAGATTTTATGCATCATTTTCATGAAATAAACTCACTCTATGTCTCAAAATTCGTTTTACAGTAGTCGTCAAGAGTCTTGCTAACAGATAAAACATATCCAAACGTGCATCCATTCATGTCAAACGTTGACGACAAATAAGGTACAATAAATCCTGATCACAAGCAGTAATTACAACTTCATGAACCTTTATACGAGGAAATTAGAAAGTCAACGTTGGTTTCTTAATTTCGACGAGAATATTTCAGTGTAAACAAAAAGATCTCACAACGCCAGGTTGCAAGTGTATAAATAACAGCATAGGTCTTCTATTCTTCTACATTTACACCCACATCCTCGATTGGAAGGATATTAGAGAGTTATTAGAAGTGTTTTGTAATACGTGGTTTTGTGTCATGTCGAAGTAGAATTTTTCAGTTTGATGGAATTATCAAGACTAGTAGAAAACACATTTTCTATATGCAGCTTTATGTGCTAATTACGAATATGATATTTAAAATTACATAAAATTGCTTTTGTCGACGAAAATCCATTCTATTAATAAATAAAAGACTAGTCCTTTTTCCAATTAGTTCGAATCCTCCCGAATAGTAAAATCGAATAAAAGCCTACCGCAAATTTCTAAAGCAGAGAGAGAGAGTACCCATGTCCTGAAAATCGCTGAAAAATTGGCGATTAATCGTGATATATCGAAACGATAATCGTGAGCTGCAACGCAATTAATCGCCGATTTTTAATG